ACTTCAACTCCCAGAATTCCCTAGTCAGCCATGCTGGGTGGGGAATTCTGGGAGTTGAAGTCCACATACCTTAAAGTTGCCAAAGTTGAAATACACTGGTCTAGATGACCTCTCAGTTCTATTTCAACTCAATAGTTCTAGGTACCGTATTTATTTGTTTATTAAGCAAATTTACATGGCTGCCTAACTCACACATGGTGACTCCGGGTGGCTTACAGAGTTAAAACCCAAATACAAAAAATCAATAACCCCACCCCGACCCCCCTGGCGGCAACAAACACATTCAAATTAACCATTTGATCGACTCCATATCAGCCTGGGGTCCCCAGGCCCGTTGACAGAAACATGTCTTCAGGGCCTTTCGGAAATGTATCAAGATAGGGGCCAGTCTTATCTCTGGGGGAGTGTTTATTTATTTATTTATTTATTTATTTATTTATTTATTTATATTTCAAATTTGGACACCGCCCATCTCATGAGGAAGTGACTCTGGGCAGTTTACAATAAAAACAACAAATATTAATTACAATACAATAAAATAGTATAAAATACAATAAAACCAAATACAGTACATAAATAATATTCCATAGGGAGGGAGTCACCACAGAGAAGGTCCTTTTTCTCAGTCCCACTAGATGTATCTCCCTCATTGAAGGGACCCACAATATACCCTGCCTCCCCACTCTGGTGGGCCAGGTAGATGTAACTGGGGAAAGGCGGTCCTTTAAATAATATATATTTGGTACAGCTGAATTGATTCATCATTTAGATTGATTGATTGATTGATTGATTGATTATGTGTCAACAAGTCAATGTTGACTCTTAGTGACCACATGGATTTTCTCCATGACAATCTATCCCTTACCTGGTCCTTCAGGTCTTCCAACAGTGAACATTTATATTAAGGTATTAAAAAAATAACTTAATTATATACAGTAACTGATGGAGCAGGGAATGGAAACAGCAGTAATTAAAAACAAACATTAAAGGACTTTGTCAATGAAGAAATCCTATCCAGACAGTTCTTCCAGCTGTTAAACTGGTACAATAGGATCTTGCTACCTTAAGGAAGGTTTTTCAGTGCCACCAGTTAGTGTCACCTGACAGCCAAAATGAACAGTTGAGGAAAAAAGTGACAAGAGATCCATTCTGGGGCACTGTTGGGTCCAACAGAGAGGGAGTAGAAGAACAGCTTTGTGCCAGTGGAGAAGACCGAAAAGGCAGTATGGAATGGAATCTGCAGGTGGAAAGGGTGGACTGAGCAGAAAAATCTGGTTTAGAAACTGAGCAACACACCAGATCACAAATAACATGGCGTTTGCAAGATCGTTTGCAGGGGAGAAAACGATGACCACCAAGTTGCTGAAGAAAAATGGCACACCAAGCCATGCCAGCACCCTATTTTTTGGTGAGCTCTCCCAATGCTATATTGTAAAGAATGAAAAAAATGTCCTAAATCTGGATAAGCAGAAGCCCATCTGGCCATTCTCCAGGGACCCAAATTTATAAGAATAATTTGCTTTTTCTCCAAAAGCAAAGAAAGGGGGCAAAGCGAGTTTTAAAGCTCTCATTAAGGAAGGGGGCAAGCCCAAAACATGAACAGAAACAGTTTGTGAGAAGAGAGATTTGCTGGGGAAAGTTGATGCTCAGCAGTGGATGCTCTCTGGGTGACTTTTGACTACTTGCTCTCTTTCAGCCCAGCGTAACTCCCGGGGTTATTGCGATGGGCATAAATTAAGGGTGATCTCTCTCTAAGCCTCCTTGGGTTCCTGGAGAAAAAGTGGAATATAAATCTAACAGATTAAAAAAAACAGCTGAGGGGCTGAGTATGTTTTGCAGAGCTGCCAAGAAACATTTTGCAACCAAGCTGCAGAGCAAAAAAAAAATAAAAACAGATGGAGAAAATGCAGCTTCATAGTCGCACCATGTTGAGACTCTGCTCGCATTCAGGACCGTAGAGCTGGAGGCACTCCTTGCCCCCAGCTCTGGTGAGGATGCTTTGTTTCCTGTAGATGTTGCCATTTAATTATATTTTGCAAGTAAATGACACACAAAATTACAGGAAGCCAGAAAGGCTGAGCATACCTTGGACTTTTCTGGAACGGGAAAAAAGAGAATCTTGTTGATGAGTGAAGACCAGAGAGATAACTTTCCAAATTGGCCCATCTAGCGTGGCATTCTTTGTACCAGAAGCAGCGAAATTCTTTTCTTCAGATGTCTGCTAAGAGATGGAGCCAAGTTCTTCCCTTCTCCTCCCTTTCTGTTTTGTGCACATTCTTTCAGAAGTTGAAGTTTGAAGTCTTTTTTCACAATGTCTGTATCTCAAACAACACCTACAGGTCTCTGGTGTAGAACAAAGATCAAGTAGAGAAAGAATGACTTGACCAAGTTTCTAAAGAGGTTTGTGGTTGGGTGGGGTTCTGACCACCAAACTTCACAGTTCAAGTCCAATTCATCCTGCACTACACTAACTCTCAGGAAAACACAGTCACGCTGTCTTAGGTTGCAATGATACACTTGTTGCCTACCACTGCAAGCAAGATCCAGTGTGCTCAAGTGAAATTTACTTCTGAGTAGACATGTACCTGTAGGATTCAGCCACAGGAGCCGAGAGAATACACTTGGTTTTGGCTTGGAAATCCCAAACATCTCTACTGGTCTGATGAAAAATGTTAACTGAATATTTTTCAGTTAAGATAGTTGTGGGAATGTATTTCCCCTTATGAGGACACTGTTCTCGAGAAGGTATAAAGTGTTCTTGACCTGAATGTGACTTTCCCTTTTTTAATCTGTCAGCAGCGAGAGGGCAGAGCGAGCAACTTTCTGAAGAAAGAAAATTTTCAGATCAACCCTTTTCAATAAGGTTGGATGTTTTTACAGTTTTCTTAGCGATTTCATGGCAAACGAGATAGCCACTTCTCTGTGTGAATGCGCTTTTGGGAGTTTTTGTGCACCAGCAAAGAGGAAGAGGGACAGCCTATGGCAGGGTTTCTCAACCTTGGCAACTTTAAGGCGTGTGGACTTCAAATCCCAGAATTCCCCAGCCAGAGGGACAGCCTATGGCAGGGTTTCTCAACCTTGGCAACTTTAAGGCGTGTGGACTTCAAATCCCAGAATTCCCCAGCCAGAGGGACAGCCTATGGCAGGGGGGGGGAGCCTCCCCGTGTGGCCCTCCGACGG